TTATTGCATTTATGGATTTAGAAAAGGCATATGATAGAGTGGATAGGAGAGCAGTGTGGCAGATGTTGTAAGTATATGGAATAGGTGGTAAGTTACTAAATGCTGTAAAGAGTTTTTATGAGGATAGTGAGGCTCAAGTTAGGATGTGTGGAAGAGAGAGACTACTTCCCAGTAAAAGTAGGTCTTAGACAGGGATGTGTAATGTCACCATGGTTGTTTAATATATTTATAGATGGGGTTGTAAAAGAAGTAAATGCTAGGGTGTTCGGGAGAGGGGTGGGATTAAATTATGGGGAATCAAATACAAAGTGGGAATTGACACAGTTGCTTTTTGCTGATGATACTGTGCTCATGGGAGATTCTAAAGAAAAATTGCAAAGGTTAGTGGATGAGTTTGGGAGTGTGTGTAAAGGTAGAAAGTTGAAAGTGAACATAGAAAAGAGTAAGGTGATGAGGGTATCAAATGATTTAGATAAAGAGAAATTGGATATCAAATTGGGGAGGAGGAGTATGGAAGAAGGGAATGTTTTCAGATACTTGGGAGTTGACGTGTCGATGGATGGATTTATGAAGGATGAGGTTAACCATAGAATTGATGAGGGAAAAAAGGTGAGTGGTGCACTGAGGTATATGTGGAGACAAAAAATGTTATCTATGGAGGCAAAGAAGGGAATGTATGAAAGTATAGTAGTACCAACTCTCTTATATGGGTGTGAAGCTTGGGTTGTAAATGCTGCAGTGAGGAGGCAGTTGGAGGCAGTGGAGATTGTCCTGTCTAAGGGCAATGTGTGGTGTAAATATTATACAGAGAATTTGAAGTGTGGAAATTAGGAGGTGTGAGTTAATAATAGTATTAGTCAGAGGACTGAAGAAGGGTTGTTGAGGTGCTTTGCTCATTTAGAGAGAATGAATCAAAGTAGAATGATATGGAGAGCGTATAAATCTGTAGGGGAAAGAATGCAGGGTAGGGGTCATCCTCAAAAAGATTGGAGGGAAGGCGTAAAGGAGGTTTTGTGAGCGAGGGGCTTGGACTTCCAGCAAGTGTGCATGAGCGTGTTAGATAGGAGCGAATGGAGACAAATGGATTTTGGGACCTGACAAGCTGTTGGAGTGTGAGCAGGGTAATATTTAGTGAAGGGATCCAGAAAACCGCTTTTTTTTTTATATAGCCGGACTTTAGTTCTGGAAATGGGAAGTACAAATGCCTGCACTTGAAAGGAGAGGTTTGGGATACAGTGGACCCCCGGTATTCGATATTAATCCGTTCCCAAGAGCTCATCGAATACCGAAAATATCGAAAACGCGAATCAATTTTCCTCATAAGAAATAATGGAAATCAAATTAATCAGTGCAAGACACCCAAAAGCATGAAAAAAAAACTACTACATGAAATATTAAGTTTAATGCAATAGAATAATTACAATAACAATAGAATAATTGACACTTACCTTTAATGAAGATCTGGTGATGATTGATGGGATGGGAGGAGGGGAGAGGTGTTAGTGTTTAGAAGGGGAATCCCATTCCATTAGGACTTGAGGTAGCAAGTCCTTTTCCGTGGTTACTTCCCTTCTTCTTTTAATGCCACTAGGAGCAGCTTGAGAGTCACTGGACTTCTGTCGCACAACTTATCTGTCCATAGTGGCCTGTACCTCCCGTTCCTTTATGACATTTCTAAAGTGTTTCACAACGTTGTCAGTGTAATAGTCACCAGCACGGCTTGCAATAGCTGTGTTAGGGTGATTGTCATCAAAAAAGGTTTGCACTTTAAGCCACATTGCACACATTTCCTTAATCTTTGAAGTAGGCAACTTCTTCAATTTCTCTATCCCCTCTTCCGAAGCAATTTCCTCAGGTGTGGCCTCTTGCTGTTGAAGATGATCTAGCAGCTCATCAGTGGTTAGTTCTTCATTGTCCTCCTCCACCAACTCTTCCACATCCTCCCCACTAACCTCCAACTCCAAGGACTTCCCCAGTGCCACAATGGATTCTTCAACTGGCATAGGATTCCCAGGGTTAGCTTCAAATCCTTCAAAATCCCTTTTGTCTACACATTCTGGCCACAGTTTTTTCCAAGCAGAGTTCAAGGTCCTCTTAGTCACTCCCTCCCAAGTCATACCTATAAGGTTTATACAATTGAGGATATTAAAGTGATCCTTCCAAAACTCTTTTAGAGTCATTTGAGTTTCTGTGGTCACTACAAAGCACTTTTGAAACATAGCTTTTGTGTACAGTTTCTTGAAGTTGGAAATAACCTGCTGGTCCATGGGCTGCAGGAGAGGAGTGGTATTAGGAGGCAAAAACTTGACCTTAATGAAGCTCATGTCCCCAGAAAGTCGCTCTGCCAAGTCTGTAGGATGACCAGGGCCATTGTCTAATACCAGGAGGCACTTAAGGTCTAATTTCTTTTAAATTAGGTAATTTTTCACAGTGGGGGAAAATGCATGGTGTAACCAGTCATAGAAAAAGTCCCTAGTGATCCATGCCTTACTGTTTGCCCTCCACAGCACACACAAATTAGCCTTGAGGACATTGTTTTTCCTGAACACTCTGGGAGTTTGAGTGATACACCAATAAAGGCTTCACTTTGCAATCACCACTAGCATTGACACACATCAACAGAGTAAGCCTGTCTTTCATAGGCTTATGTCCTGGGAGTGCCTTTTCCTCCTGAGTAATGTAGGTCCTGCTTGGCATTTTCTTCCAAAACAGGCCTGTTTCATCGCAATTAAACACTTGTTCAGGTTTCAAATCTTCACTGTCTATGTAATCCTTGAATTCCTTCACATATTTTTCAGCTGCTTTTTGGTCTGAACTGGCAGCCTCACCATGCCTAATCACATTATGTATGCCACTACGATTCTTAAATCTTTCAAACCAACCTTTGCTGGCCTTAAATTCACTCACATCAGTACTAGTTGCAGGCAATTTCTTTACCAAATCGTCATGCAACTGCCTAGCCTTTTCACAAATGACTGCTTGAGAGATGCTATCTCCTGCTATCTGTTTTTCATTTATCCACACCAATAACAGTCTCTCAACATTTTCTAACACTTGCGGTCGTTGTTTCGTAATCACAGTTGCGCCTATTGCAAGAACAGCTTCCTTGATTGCCGTTTTCCTGGTCACTATAGTAGAGATGGTTGATTGGGATTTATTATACAACCTGACCAGCTCCGACACACGCACTCCACTTTCGTACTTTGCATTTATCTCTTTCTTCATTTCAATAGTCATTAGCACCTTTTTTCTCGAAGGGTTGGCATTAGAAGCTTTCTTGGGGCCCATGGTGACTTATTTTGCAGAAACAAGCACAAAAACAGTGATAATATGGAATGTACCGAATGTATCCTTAGGTGCACGCACACTGGCTGGCTTGTAAACACTGGCACACACGGGGCAGTTCAGGCCACACGTGGACACGTCTCGTACGAATTATATCGAATACCGGGTTTTCGGTCGGATACCGAGGCAAAATTTTTGCGATATAATGCATCGAATACCGGATTTAGCGAATACCGCTGCCATCGAATACCGGGGGTCCACTGTATTGGCAGTTTGGAGGGATGTGTAACAAGATGGCATATATATAATTGGGGCCCTGATATTATATTCTATAGAGAGTTTATTATATTATTTCAGGTCACTTTTTATGTTGTATCTTTATATACGTATGCTTCTAAACTGTTGTAACTAGGCACCTCTGCAAAAACAGTGATTATGTATGAGTGAGGTGGAAGTGTTGAATGATGAAAGTATTTTCGTTTTGGGGATTTTTCTTTTTTTTTTTGGGTCACCCTACCTAGGTGGGAGGCAGCCAACTTGTTGGGAAAAAAAAAATCATAGGTAGATTAATGAAAATGTATTAATGTAATATATAACATTTAATGAGACATGGTGATTGTTATTGAGTACTATTGTTATCATTACTAATATGGCATCTCGAGACATAAGACACTCTTACTGATTTTAATGTGTACCTGCACTCCAGCACAGTGTGTAAGTATATTTAGGTACAGGTATACATAAGTATAATTATCAGAATATATATAAATATGAAATAGTTTTTAAAAACACTTGAAATTTTGAAAAGTTTTCAGACATAATGGAGAGACGCAGTATTCACGGAGGTCACAAAGAATGTAAACAAACCAGGTGGGGAGCGGTGACTGTATTAGAAAGTCAGGTGGGGGAGCCGTATAGAGTTTTGGTCATAATTTGAAATGTCCGTATTAGCGGAATGCCATAAAGCGGGGCTCTACTGTATATTTTATCCACTGGTATACTGTATGTATACAGTGCCTAAAGGCTATCTTTAAAACAGCCATTGTTGCACAATTTTCTAGTAGCATTACTGTTTTTCTGCTGATCATTTTTATTAAGTGCAAAACTGATAAGACGCATACAGTGATTAGGAAATGTAAGACATTCAGGTTTGATCCAAGAAACAAATTAAAAATGTCATATTTATTTGTAAGCCGGTAAGAGGCTCTTGATTCAAGGAATTGAACTTGTTTTGCCCTTCCATAAATTAAACATGCATGCCTTTCATTCCCCAAACACTGTTTGATTCCTGTGGGTTTAGTGCTTCTTCCTCAATAGAATAATAATAATAATAATATTCTTTCATGCAAAAAACAAAGAAAATGTTCAATGTTTAATATAGAAGTACATACATGATGATTATGAAAATAAAGTTCTGGTGTTACCCTTTGACATGAATTACAGCTTGGTTTCAAAAACAAGCATATCCAAATTTTAAATAAAATTTGGATATGCTCTGGATTTTGGGAGTGAGTTCCTGTAATTTAGAGTTTTGGATTATTGAAAAGATGTACCAAAATGTGTGATTATGATTTTCCATTCAAATTTCACTAAGGCAGGCCTTCAGAATGATATATTAAAAAAAAAAAAAACTTGATTTAGCATTTCTGAACATGACTTCTGCTAAATTTGATTAAATATTGAAACTAGCCTTTCAACATTTAATTCTTTCCCAGGTCCCAGAAGTATGTGTGGCACGGCTCCAACTTGGATGGAGAGAGGTCCTTGTCCTCCTACTGCGATGCTTGGAACAGTGAATCACAAGAGACTATAGGTCTGGCCTCTTCCTTGCTGAAGAAGCGCTTGCTGGGTCAGGAGCGTATGAGCTGCCACAATTCCTTTGCTGTGTTATGTATTGAAGCTACTAGTCAAACACGGTATCGACGGAGGCGTCACACTGGATCCAAGGAGCAGATACTCACTAGCCAGCAATATCAAGAGTTCCTCAAAGCTCTAAGTAGAGACCAAGATGACTTGAACCAGTGAGAGTTCTTCAGGAAGGAGAGATAAATGAAGACAATTTTAGTTTTTAAGTTGAATGGTCTCGTCTAAAAGTAGCGCACAGTGTTTCCATGTATGTTTGAGCAAAGTTAATTCATAATACCATGTGTTTCTTAAGAAGTTCTGTGTGAAGTGTCACAGAATCTTCAGATTTCGCTTGTAAATATGACACTCCTTGATGATGGTAAGTATTTTATATACCTTAATGCTTTGTGGCAGTGTAGGACTACAAAGTGGGAGAGGTGCTCATACTTAGTGGCAGTGTTGAATTACAGTGTACGAGAAAGATATTCATGCTTCATGGCAGTATAGGGCTAGTGCGCATGGGGGGGGGGAGGGGGAAATCTGTGCTTAGTGGTAGTGTGTGACTAAAGAGTGAGGGAGATGCACATGAAACACAAGTACTGTCAGTAAACACTAAGTAAACCGTAGAGAAGAACCACATATCATGGGCCTATTTCTTTTATTTACATTATAATGCTCAAAACTGTTTGGTTATTCAGTGCTTTAGACATACACTATTCCATTCCCATCATTATGAAATTTACAGTATCATATCAACTTCCTATAGTTGTGACCAAATCATTTTCATATTGTATAAAGCATAATCACAAAATAAGTTAAAATTCTAAGTTTTTTACATTCCACAATCATTATTCGCTCTGTGTCACTGGCCACGAGTTTTAGCAGTTTAAACAAAAGGGCAAAAGCCTCATCATTTATGTGTAAAGATATGTTGTGCTCTTAAGAAAGCACCCTGTGTGGGGAGAGTGGCACCCCTTCCAGAGAAGAGGTCTCTACCCCACCTAGGCACAAACCACTTGAACCTCACCACCTTGTTAATGTGACCCAATGTCAGATGAATCATAGGCCTTAATATCAGAATTATGAATGAATGATGAAAGTTTTTTCTTTTTTGGGCCACCCTGCCTTGGTGGGAATCAGCTGATGTTAAAATAAATATAAATAAAATATAATTTTCAATGAGGATTTACTAGGTATTGAAAAAGAACCGTGAAAGTATTTACTAATAGTGTAATGTCGGCTTTATTTTCCTTTTATTCCTCCTACCTTCTTTTGTTTCTCACCCTCCCTTTCCTCCAGTCTCCTTCATATTCCCTTTCTTTCCAATCATTTGCCTCTCATTTTCTGCCTTAGTGCTTACATGACATTTTAAGGCAATTACAATGAGAAGTGTTAAGATCCATGATATGAAGTAGTTACTGATGCACATAGTAAAATGATCACTAACTATTCTCTGCCTCTTGCCAGTTCTTCCATGTAGCTATAGGAAGCCAATCATGACAAACCAACCATAGATGTATTCAAAATATAAATATTAGGACAACTAGAAGTTTTAAAATGACTTCCATTGCTCCCAAACCTACTTACCTCTTGTTTAGCTATTTAATAATTCTGGGAACCTTATTCATGTGTCAGTCAAGAGTAAATAAAGTCCAGTTGTCATCTTGTATTTAAGATGTAGATGTGTGTTAGTAAAGTTAAAGTTGTAATTCAAGTATTTTTCAGTACCTTATAATATGGCAATATTTTGAATCTTTTTTTTCAAAATAAAAAAATAAATTTATCTGGTGGTCACAAACAAAGGACTGACAGAAAAAGCCTAAAACTGGATTTTTTTCTTAAGCTGAGCATTTTTTTTCCTTAAGAATTTGTGGGTAAATGTGTCACAGGATTATCACTGCATGTGGTCTTGTCTACATGATAACTTGGTGAACTTAAAACTGTGGCTTTGCATTTTTGTAATGATCTTGAGGATGTGGTTGTAGTTTGTTTCCTACCTTGTGAAGTATCCTACATTTTGTCTGCATCAGAGCAACCTTGTCATGCTTCATGTTAATATTTGTACTTTTATTATTGTAAATGTGACCATTTGGTTGCAGTATACCAACTTTCATGTAAACATATTCCTGGTTAGAGCATGCATGCACATAACTGACTTGTTGAATACCAAAATCTGATCTTCCTACCTGCACTGCCCTGCAATGAGTCATACTCTAGTTAGAACTAGTGTAAGTATAATGGAGATATGTAAGTTATGTTTAAATAACTGTACTATTACTCAGTTTTGTCGTGTGAAAAATTGAACCAAGGTAATGAATGCGTGAATGGTATGCATATTATGCAATGTATGTAATTCATAAGCATGAATGATATTATTTATTTAATGAGAATGTGCTTTATTGCCTCTTTAGTAAATTCGCCTTTCTCATCTAGCTTCCAATTATGAACATGATCATGCATTAACATATACTTGCTAAAATTTCTGTATTTCTATAAGTTTCTTTTTATGCTGCTATTATGGAATACTTTTTAAATGCATTTAGGTAATGCACCCAAATATTTGAATGGCTACTTCCCAAAGAGTTCAGATATTTGAGAAATACATTTTTCAGTTATTACCAGGTCTTGTGCTTCCTGTAAGAATGACTTTTTAATACGCAAACCAAATAGTTGACACATATTCCATGCTCACACTGTTAATGCTATATCGCATCAACACTTGTACTAACAACTTGGACAATTACTAGTCATATTGAGGTGTGTCAAATTAGTATAACAGCCCATTTTTTGTTTTGTATTTTAATGACTCCACTACTGGTAGGCTTTTTAAACTTAGTGTTGGTGAAACTAATAACTGTGTTGAAACTAAGCTTAATGCAGAAAAAATAAAACTGTTGGTGAGACAAAGCTTAGTGTTAATGACATTTTTTAACAAGGAATTTCACACTTGATTAGTTAACATGAGGAGACTTGAAGCACACACCAAAATCATGGGAAATTACTGTACAATTATGCATTATTATTAGCAATGTTTATAATTATTGCTATTACAGATAATTATTACTCTTAATATGATTTAACAGTATTAAAGGTAATAATGGGTATATTATTTATAGATAGCAATGTCCAACACAGTAAATCCCCTTATACCACCATCTCACATTAAGTAATTTTGTACTTTTTGGAAAAGTGCAACCCATAAAATTAAACAGAAAAATTTGCTATTACATAAATCTAAGCAAATATTTATAAACATATGACATTTGGGAATGATGCACAGTACTGTTTTTTTTTTCATTGCAAGGCCAGGTGGCCTGCAGACAGTCAACTGAGCAAAAGCATTTTAATGTAAGAAAGGAACACTACAGTAGGTCTACTGGCCATACTAGGCATGTCCTTCTCAAACACAAATTCAATTAAGAAAAAGAGATGTCTAGCATAAATGATTCTTAAATTATATACAGCCCTTGTATCAAAATAATTGGAAGAACATACTCAGTGTGCATTAACATCTTAAAACATTCACAAGTGTATACTTCATACATTACCATCTCTAATTTATTTTTTCAAATATTTTCCTTTGTTTATTACATCAGATGCAATTTAAGGTACAATATATGTTTGGTGTCTATGTATTTTCTTTGTTGTTGGATACAGTTTGGTCAAAAATAAATTTCAGTAAGTGTGTGCTCAGATGTCTGGAATGTAACTGCATTTTCCCATATGTATGTTTTACTTCACATAATGTGATTTGGTATTACATGCAGATTTTGAGGAACACAACCCTTTGTTTATAAGAGGGCTTACTGTATAACACTGTTAATAATAATCATAACTACAGAAAATAATTTTAGTGCTGTACATTTTTTTAGTAATATTTTAATTGTATTATATTAAATGCTACAGTACAGTATTAATAATTATAAAAATAATGTACAAGTATATGGTAATTTATTGTCCTTTTTTATAGTTCAAGCCTCATCTTGCAACATTCAGTCACAAGAGTAAGATTATTATTCACTGTGACTTCTTCAGGAATATTATGAGGACTTAGTTGTCTTTGTCTACATAGTACATGGATTGCATGAAAATTCAACCCCTCTCCCCCTCCCAAGGAAAGCAGTTTACTAAGAGTAATGTAAATTTTTACGTATAAAAATTAAGCAATTTTAAATTATGCACAGTTTTTTCAAAAAGATTACATTAGACTACTTGGTTAGTTATACTGTAATATTAAAAATTGTCACATCAAAAATGGTTTTCCTTTGGAGAGACGAATCTTCATATGATCCATATACTCATTTTTCGTCATTCGTCTGATATCAGTATGTAACAAAGTAGACATATTTAACATGTATTTGGCTTTTTGATATCACAGTAAGACCCGTATATGTCAGTGTTTGTCATGTAATATATAGTAAGGGATAAAACTACAATCCAGTAATTATGTCTGCCTACTGAGAAGTGTGTACAGCATAAATGTGGTGAGTGTCTCCATCATGAAAGGAAGTTTTAACAGTTGTCTTGGGATATGTTTTCGATGTGTGCCCTACTTTAAATTCAACCCATCCTCCTAAACAGTGATATTTTACCATGATTTATGACTGTCCATATAACAACTGACATTAAAATGTTAATGCGGAATTTTTAAATGTCATGTTCCCCCATCCCCTTTTAAATGGTTTTCCCCAATTTTTTCCCGTTCCTGCAACAAAAACATACATTTTCCTTCAAAGCATTAAATTTCATTTATTGGGGTTAATTATGAAAAAATTGGTTAAATTTATGTAAATTCCCCCCAAAATGCCCTAGAAAAATTAAGGGAAAAAGCATATGAAGTAAAAAAAAAAAAAAAAGCATTGGGATTAGGACAGTTTTTAAAATAATTTACAAAATTTTGTGTTGTAGTTAAAAAAACAATTACAAGGGGCTGGGACTAAAAAAACTCTGCTAAGGGCCCCTAATATTGTGTGTGATCTTGGTTTTTTAGATCATAAGGTTTTTTTTAAAATGCCCGTGAGGGACTCAAAATTTTAAAAGGGAAGGGGAAACTAAATTTACCTCTTACTTTTTAAAATGATTTCCCCCCAACCCCCAGGGATGGAAAATCTCCCTGGGTTTAGCACTTTCCCCCGATTTTACACAAGCAGACGCAAATTTTCCCCGGGGCTGTATACAGAAAAATTATTGGGTTTTGGGAATTACATGCAGCATTTTTTTTTTTTTTTTTTTAATAATTTTTCCCTCGGTTTTAAAAAAATACGAAAGGTTTCAGTTTTTCTTTCCCAAAACTGGGGTTTTTAAAGGGTTTCCATTTTGTCGTTTCTTACCCAAGGGTTTTTACCACTTTTCCAAATTTCTGTACCCCAATGTAAGGCATATTTGGGCAGTAATACAAAAGTTTCCAAAATTTCCCCATATGAAAAAAACAGCAAGTACTTTTCCCTTTTTTCGGGTTTTTAGTTAGTATTTTAAAAAGTGGGGGTTTCCCTTTTGGGAGGTGTCCCTTAAAAGCTTTTGTTTGTGAGTCACATTTTATTTTCCCTTTTTCAAATAATTGTAAATATATTTCCATGTTTTTGCAAGTAAAATTTAATTTTTTAACATCCCTTTTAAAAAGTAAATGTATAATATATAAATATAAAATAATATAAATTTAAAATATATATATATAAATAATATAAAAAATATTTTAAAATATAAAATATAATATAAAAATGGAACCTCGGTTTTTATATCCCTAGTTTTTATTTAGAACTTTTAGTTAATTTTCTATTAAAAAATAAATTTTTTTTTTAATATTTTTCCCCTAAGAAAAAAAAAGTTAAACCCAAATTTAAACCATTTTCCCAAAAACCCCCTGAGTCAAAAAAGGTTAGTTTTGATGAAATGTTCATTTATCCATTTTATTAGTGCTTTATATTTATTTATCATTGTTTTCTGTATGTATATCTATATTTAATCTTTAAAAAGAATATTTTTTGTTAGTATTTTTGGGCGCCTGAAATGGATTAATTGGATTTCCATTATTTCTTATGGGGAAAATTAATTTGGCTAATGCCAAAATCGGTTAAAGGCAAGCTCTTTGGAACGGATTAATGCCATTACCCGAGGGTCCACTGTACGTATGTCTATATATATATAGTCACTCCACTGCTGACAGTGTAGCAGTGGAGTGACATTTGATGATCATGCACTGCCTTGGCTTTGTTTTTCAGTTACACATAAACATGTGTCTATCTGCTTGTTTCTATCTGTATCTGTTTCTGTCTATTTATCTAGCTCTATGTTTATCTCTGTCTCTGCTTATCAGTCTTTCTGTCTCTTTACTTGTCTCTGTCTCAGAGAGCTGCTCAAGAACCAACAGGTATTACACATGATGCAGAGTCGTCACGTCTTGATTCCTGAACAAGTGAAAATGTGCATTTCTTGCCAGTCATGCTTATTATGCCTTGTATCTACAAGCATAGCATAGCACTTTGTCTCGATTTTTGGGTTATCCTAAGTAATTTACACTTTGTGTAACTATTTATGTGTACCTGTGAGATAGAGAGACAGACAGACAGACAGGTACAGACAGAGACAGGAGATAGAGACAGCCAAAGCAAATCAGCCAGCCAAATGGCCACCCAACCAGCCGGCCTGCCGAACCTGTATTACACACATACAGTAGACCGTCATTTAACACGGTAGTTACGTTCCTAAAAACACCGTGTTAGATGAACTGAAGAACTTATGGGAAAAACAGGGTTACGTTGAGAGCCCCAAAAAAGTCGAACAACTAAGACCCGCGTCAGGAAACATTTGTCCTGTTTCCTGACGAACCTTACCTAACCTAACCTAACTTTTTTTTAGGCCTCCAAAAATAAAAGTAAGTAATTGTAGTTCATTGTTATGTATAATGTTGTTTTTACTGCTTAACCCTTTGACTGTTTCAGGCCCCTCTCTGAAGCTGTCATTCTATGTCGCTCAATTTTTGAAAAAAAAAATTATTTTTTCTTATGAAATGATAGAGAATCTTTTCCCGATGGTAATGACACCAAAAGTTCGAAATTTGGTCGAAAACTCGTGGAATTATGCTCCCGCGAAGTTAGCGGTCTCGGCGACATATGCGTATCGGCGATTTCGCCGACTTTGAGCCCAATTTTCAGCCAATTCCATTGTTCCAGTTGACCAAACTCATAGCTATTTCTTTAGAACCTCCATTTTATCTATCAGCTGAGTACAAGAAAACCTCCCATTTACTAATTTGGACTACCCAATATGGTGGTCAGAAATTGGCAATTTGGCCAATTTCACACAAAATAAAAAAGATGCCAATTTCAAAATAGGTCCTGAATAAACAAGGTAGACATTCGTGGCACTAAAATAACATATGCTCTGTTCATTAGTCACATCTCTAGGCCCCTCTTATATTATTATTGCTTTCTATTTTGATTTTTTATTCATACAAAAAAATACAAAATTTACTGTTATGCAGACGACTGCATTATTGTAAAAATGGTATAAATAATATCAGTGCACTAGTGAAAGAATATTAGACTCCCCAGTTGACGTGTATTGGACGTGTTGTGTGATTTATGTACTCTTGGTGTTTAAACCCTTTGACATCTGAATTACAGCTTGGTTCAAAAACAAAGCATATCACAAATTTTAAAATAAAAATTTGGATATGCTCTGGTTTTGGGAGTGAGTTCCTGTAATTTAGAGTTTTGGATATTGAAAAGTATGGTACCAAAATGTGTGATTATGATTTTTACCATTCACAAATTTCTCACTAAGGCAGCCTTCAGAATATAATATTAGAAAAAAAAAAAACTTGATTTATAGCATTTCGTGAACAAGACGTCTGCTAAATTGATTAAATATTGAAACCTAGCCCTTTCAAACATTTAAATTCCTTTCCCAGGTCCCAGAAGTATGTGTGGCACACGGCTCCAACTAGGATAGAGAGTCCTTGGCCTCCTACACTGCGATGCTTGAACAGTGCAATCGCGCAGAGACTTAGTTACTGGCCTTTCCTTCTGAAGTGAAAGCGCTTGCTGGTCATTACGAAGCTATGATGCTGCACAATTCCTTCTGCTGGGTTATGTATTGAAGCTACCTAGTCAAACACGGTAATCGAACGGAGGCTCAACACTGGAAATTCCAAGGAGCAGATACTCACTAGCCATCAATATCAAGAGAAGTTCCTCAAAGCTCTAGGGGCATAAGTAGAGACCAAGATGACTTGAACCGTGCAGAGTTCTATATCAGGAAGGAGAGATAAATGAAGGAACAATTTTAGCATCTTTTTAAGTTGAATGGTCTCGTCTAAAAGTAGCGTCACGAGTGTTTCCATGTATGTTGAAGCAAAGTTAAGATTCATAATATCCCATGTGTATCTTAAGAAGTCTGTGTGAAGTGGTCACAGAATCTTCAGATTTCGCTTGTAAATATGAGCACATATGCGTTCCTTGATTTGGTTCAAGTTATTTTACTATACCTTAATGCTTTGGTAGGCAGAGTGTAGACTACAAAGTGGGGAGAGGTGCTCATACTTACTTAGTGGCAGTGTTGAATTACAGTGTACAGAAAGATATTCATGCTCATGGCCAGTATAGGGCTAGTGCGCATGGGGGTGGGAGGGGAAATCGTTGCTTATGGAGTGTGTGACTAAAGAGTGAGGAGATGCACATGAAACAAAGTACTGTCATAAACACTAATAAAAACCGTAGAGAAAGAACAATATCATTGGCCTATTTTCTTTTTTATTTACATTATAATGCTCAAAAACTGTTTTGGGTTATTCCAGTGCTTTAGACATACACTATTTCCATTTCTCCAGCATTATGAAATTTAACAGTATCATATCAACTTCCTATAGTTTGTACCAATCATTTTCATAATTGCAAAAGCATAACACACAAATTAAGTTAAAATTCTAAGTTTTTTACATTCCA